TGCAGTAGTGACCTCGGAGATACCAAACAGCTCTGTCTTTGGAATGAAGACCCGCTCAACAAGAGGAAAACTGTGCTTGGTACTGGAAAACTAAAAAATAGCCCAGGTGAGTGAAGTCATGACTATTGGAGGTGAATCAACAACTCCAAATTACTAAACCAGCATAACCCCTAAAAGTAAGCTACAAACATTTGGACTTATACCCACAAATACATTTAGTTTTTACTCATCAAGGAAATTTCTCTTTTCAACAGGGAGAAGAGACCATTATAGAAAATTACAGCAAAATAAAAGGTGGAGTTGTAGAGCTAAGTGTCAGTGGTTACATCTACAAAAAACTCCTACATCTCAGGCTCGGGGAACATTGCTGAAGACAGGATGGACAGAATGTAAGAGCCAGAGGATCGCAGACTTTGCTGTAGGATTGTGTCTCCTTGTAACACCAGGAGCTACACCTGTAAAGTCTTACCAACATGACTACCCAACCATGATCTGAACAAGGATGACACCAAGGGATATGTCAGATTGGACAGGAAAAAGCTTACAAGACTTCGACCATACACAAAGAACTAGCTTTATGCAGCAGACTAAACTGGGAGCAGAGGAAGTGGTCCTCCCCAGGGAAGAGCATATCATTGGTCTGTCCACTGCCAAATGATGAGCCTTGAAAGCATGTATGTAACAGCATATGGACGCAACATGTTATATTTGGGAATAACAGACAATAACAACTAGTGAAAAAAAGAGGCCGTGTACTTTAAGGTTCGCAGGGAGGGGTATATGGGAGAGTTTGGAGAGAGGAAAAAGAAGGGAGAAATAATGTAATTAAATTTCAATCTCAAAAAGAAAAAAATTCCTATAAAATAAATAGTTTCTTCCCACCCCCTCCCAAGGGTCACTCCTAACATTCAGTGCATCCCAAGTATCAAACAGCAGGAGAAGGGCTGATGGCCCAGTGGAAAAAGATACTTGTATCCAAGTCCTGATCTGAGTTCACTCACCAGAACCCACACAAAGGTGAAAGAAAAGAACTGACTCCAGGTTGTTCACTGATCACCACATGTGTAGTGTGGCATTCATGCTCTCCTTGTCACACACACACACACACACACACACACACACACACACACACACAGGAAAAGCAGGAAGATCTCAAGTTTATTCCCCTAGAATACTCTTCATGCCTGTTATTTCTCAGAGATGCAGCGTGTGAATTTTTGCTGCCCTACATTTCTACAAACAGGAAGACACAGTCTTAAGTTCACCATCTGGACAGAAATGAAAGCATAGCACAGGTGTGAGAAAGTAGAGAAGATGAGGTATGTTTGAAAACAAATGATTTTTCATAGCAATGCATAGTAAATGTTTTTTAAGGATTTATTTTTATTGTTTCCAATTATGTTTTTTTTTTGTTTTTGTGTTTGTGCTTATGTGTAAGGGCTCATGGTAAAGCTGCCCATAGAGGCTGAAGGCACATAATTACTTTTCTCAAAATGCAGTAGATAGTAGTAACTTCTTGGTTAATGTTTCAATAAATTTCTATTCTGCTCAAGATGGTCACATGATTTCAAACACAAATTCCTAATCTTTTTGATATGTTTTTGATTGGTAGATTTGTTTTAATGATATATCTCCTTAGTAAGCAAAGACTATGAAATACATTTTGATTGTGCAAATCAGAAATCTGAATATATTTTTATCACATCCAAGTTGGACAAGACAGACCAACAGAACTGTGTTATAAGATAGATTGACTATGAAGGTTCCACACACTCATCACATCACTGAACGTAGAAAATCCTTCATGAACCTCTCTGTTTCTCTTCCCATTCTCCTGATCCCAATCCTCATCTCCAAGGGGGCGGGGGCTTACACTTTTGTGTCTTTATATAAGTGAAAAACTGATATTGGTCTGAGTCGAATTTCCTACTTTATCTGAGATAATGATCTCTGACTCTATCTATGGCACAGTTCTGTTATTCTTCATGGTTGAATAAAACTCTATTAGGTATAGATGCCATACTTTGTTTAGTTATTTATCTTTTGTTGGAAATCTAGGCTGATTCTGTAAGGTGGTTATTAAAAATAGTCTCACAATAGAAATTATTTTACAGTTGTCTCTACTGTATGAGGACTTTAACTCTTTCACATATATATCCAAACCCTTCTCTCTCCACCCCATCTATCTTTCTCTCTCCACAACTTCATGCAGATTTCCAGTATCTGCACTAATACTGATTTGCATGCCTGCCAACGTTGATAAAGGTTCTCTTTTCCCCAGATAATCACCATTTGTTGTGTATTTTCCTGATAGCCATTCTTATTCAGTGTGATGAAATCTTAGTTTTGATTTGCATTTCCCTGATGGGGCTACAGATGTTGAACATTTTCTTCATGTGTTTATTACCTACTTGAATTTCATCTTTTGAATACTACCTGTTTAATCCATATGCCTGTTTATTGACTGGCTTGTATGTGGGTTTTGATGTTTAACTTTTTCTGTATTGCCTGGATATTAACCAAATAGTTGGGAAGGACCCTTTTCCCATTCACTAGTCTGTCTGGTTACTCAGGTGACTTTTCTTTTTTTGTTCAGGAAAGGTTTAATTTTTGATACATTCCCACGTGTCAGATTTTGTTGTTTCCTAAGCTATTTGAGGTCTGTGCAGAAGAGCATTGTTTATGACTAGATTTGCTTTGACTTTTATAGCTTGTCTCTTAGATGAACCCATTGCCTCGGGCTGGATGTTGTGCTCATATAATTTATTCCCTGCCCTTCCATAATTAAATGGTTTTAATTGGATCACATCTCATTTATGATTCATTTTAATTCCATGTGTTTAATATGTACACCTTTAAGCAATATCATCCTTTTTTTGGTAAATAAATTGCTAGCATTCCATGTTATTTTATGCATACCCTCTGTCCTACATTACTGTTCAGATGACCTAAAGTGGAAACTATACTACCTTACAAAATACTGTTTATGACACATTAGCTTAAGAGTTGAAAATTTGTAAGACAAATTGCTAAATGGTCTTATTAATAAAAATAAATAAATAAATAAAAAATTAAAAGAAAAAACAACCAAAAAACCCAGAGCCAGATATTGAGGTAAAAACTGAGAGATCAGGGAAGCAGGAAGAAGCCAGCCATGTTCTTACCTCTGGAAATCCTCAGCCAAAGAGACCTACTTCCTGTATACTCGTGCCTATATCCTTTCTGTCCCTGCCCCCTTACTTCCTCTCTCCAACCAGCTACATCACTTCCTGTCTGTCTGTACAGACCTCCAGACCTCCATGGTTAGTGCTAGAATTAAAGGCTTGTGCCACCACACCTGGCTGTGTTCCCAGTGGGGCCTTGAACTCACAGAGATCCAGGTGGATCTCTGCCTCCCAATGCTAGGATTAAAGGTGTGTGCTACCACTGTCTGACCTCTATGTTTACTATAGTGGCTAGCTTTTCCCTCTGATCCCCAGATAAGTTTTATTGGGATGCACAAATAAAATATCACCACAAAAAAATTGCTTCTGCCTGTTAATTTTTCTGAATTCATAAATGAGAGAGCATCACGATATCAGCTATAATATTGTTTGCCAATCATTTCAGCTAAAATCAATTCTTCAGATAAAGAAAAACAAATATATTTTCCTTCAAATTACTCATATGTTGTTGCTTTGATTTTTTTTTGAGAAAGGGTCTTACTATATGAGCCCTGGTAAGCCTGGTTCTTGTGTAAACCAAGCTGGACTTGAATTTCTGAGGTATTGTCTGGTGTCACCTCAAGCTCTTTTCCTGTTTTAAAGACACATTCTGGACTGACAGCTGGAGAGCCTGCATGGGACCAAACTAGGCCCTCTGAATGTGGGTGAAAAATGGTGTGAGTAGATGTGTTTGTGGGGCCCCTGGCAATGGGACCAGGACCTATCCTGCATACATGAACTGCATTTTAGAGCCCATTCCCCATGGTAGGATGCCTTACTCAACCTTGATGGGGGGCAAGGATTAGTCCTGCCTCAACTTGGTATGCCAGCCTGTGTTGACTACCCAAGGAAGGCCTTACCCCCTATGAGGAGTGAATAGGGTGTGGGATGAGGGGAAGTAAGGGGCGAATGACAGAGGGGAGGGAGGAGGAACAGTGGTTGTTATGTAAAATGGGGAAAAAAAGTAAAAATTAAAAAAAAAAGACATTCTGCCATACCAGCTTTACAGTTTTATTAAATGATTTAAAAAAAACCAACCCTGTTACAGTAAATAGATTAAACTTAACCCATCACAGATTTAAAATTGATTGACCGACTCTCTCACAAAGAAAATCTAATCAACTGTGGGTGAGTGGTGGCCTGAATTTCATCACAAACCCAAAACGTAGACAAGTTTACAATCCAAGTTTGCCAATCTGATGCAAAGTCAGGATTTCTGTCAGTGTCTAAGGGCCCAGCAGAAAGATACCAAGTTCAACACTCAATTGGCATGAGTGACCCTGTCTAAAAGAGTGGAAGCGTGTCTGCACAATGACCCAACCTGCATTTGCTGATTTCATTCTAAGAGGCAGTCCTTTTTCAGATGATCCCCAAGGCACCTGCAGATGGAAAGGTGGACAACATCAGAGAAGGCTTTCACTCCACAATCCAAGTCCCCAGTGAGTCTTCTGAAGAGTCAGATGATCCGTCATTGATGTAGTCTCAAGGCTCTAGGGTGGAGTCCCTCAGCAGAGGGAGACGGTTTGATACTCAGGTGGGCTCAAGACACTGCGGGTTTCTCTGCTCTGCTCAGGTCCAGCATGCTTCCTTCCATCCAGTGAAGTACTGAGAGATGAAGGGCAGGGGCGCCTGGTTCCTTGGCCGCTTGGCCTGGGTCTTGGGAGAGGGAGAGGAGAGGAGAGAAGAGGGGAAGGGAGGAGAAGGAAGGGGAGGAGGGGAGGGAAGGAGGAGAGAGGAGGAGAAGAGAGGAGGTGGGCTCTGGTCTAGGGCCATGGAGGAGTCAGCATGGAGCTAGGTCTATCTCCGCATCCAGGCCTGCACAGCCAAGATGTAATTGACTATGTAAAGCGCCCAGTGCAGCGCGGCCCCCGCATGGGACAGCTGCCACGTGAGCCAGGCGCGCTGGGAGATGGTGGGCTCCCTGCTGCTGGAGGGCACACGCAGGAAGGCCCCTCCAGGGACCTGCAGGTTTTCCAGGACCACCTCCAAGGCACTCACGTGGGTGATGACTCTGGACAGCGGTGAGAGCGACCTGGATGAGCAGGCTTCTGGAGAATGTTGTCTGCGCCTCTTGAGAGAGTTGTATGGAGCAGCGAGGGTGTCTCTGCGATGCCCATGCTGGACAGTCCTCCCAGTTGATCTAGGGTGGGCCCTTCTGTCCTTGACAGGGTGTTTTGAGTGCCGGGAATCTCTTGCCCGGTGTTGTTTCGCTCTGGTAGACTCAGGCTTGTCCCTTCCTCTCTTTCTGGCGGGAGGTGGGCTCGCACTCCTCTCCTCTTCAAGGCGGGAGCCACCCGAGCTATGCCGAGATCTTTTCTGCCTGGAGTTCTTGGCCTCCCTATGACTCTGCCTGCTGCTCCCTGGTCTCACGGGAGAGGCCTCCGGGGAGCTCTTCCCGCTGTTTCCCCCACTTTCCGAAGGCGAAGGCTCTTCATCTTCTCCCTTCTGGTCTCCAGGCTGCTTTCTCTTGGAAGAAGGGCTGAGCTCCTCAGAATTCGCAGGTCCAGCCTTCCCGACTTCTGTGTTAGCCATGTCTGTCAGCGCCCAGAGCCTCACCTCTGCCTCAGTCTTCCTGTGAGGTCTCTGGGAAGTGATTGTGATTTCAGAGCTGACTGGCTTTAAGGACTCCCTGCAGAGTTTTCCCAGGAGCTTTGGCCACACCCACCAACAGGCCACGCCTCCAGGAAGGCGCTAAATTCCATTCAGCAGGATTATGTGTTAGATGTTCTTTGTTTTTTCAAAAAAAAAATTATTACATTTTTAAAAAATCTATTTTACATACCAACCCCAGTTTTCCCTCCCTCCTCTCCTCCTATTCCCTTCACCCACCTCCTTTCTACACTCCAGCCCATTCCACTCCTCAGAAAGGGTAAGGCCTCCTATGGTGTCAATAATTCATAGCATACCAAACTGAGGCAGGGTCAAGCTCCTGCCTGAAGCGTGATCCTATTTAGTTTTATCAATGAAAACCCGGAGTCAAATACCCTGTTAATAATCTGAAGAATTGAGAAGCAAAGGAGCAGCCAACAGTGATCTCTCTGAATCCTCATACCTAAAAGGCCCAAATCTTGTCTCCATTCACCTTATATTCCTGTGTCCACCTCCCTAGCACTGGGATTAAAGGCGTGCACCAACACCACCTGGCGCTGTTTCTCTTTTAGACTGGTGTGGCCTTGAACTCCTGACCTTCCTGCTCCCTCCTCCCTAGTGCTGGGATTAAAGGTGTGTGCCACCATTGCCTGACTCCTATGGGTAAGTAGTGGCTAGCTCCACCCTCTGATCTCCAGGCAAGCTTAGTTTGTCAGAAAACAAACGAAATATCATACATCATTTCTGCTTTTTTTAAAAAAAATCTAAACGAAGAGCAACAAAGGTTTTTGTCTAACAGGAAAACTATATACAGTAAGTGCAATAACTATATACAAATATACAGAGAGGCAAGAATTATATTATATCTGGTCCATTAGCATTTGACAAATTCAGAGAAAATATTCCATTATCTATCCAGTCTTGGTGAGTCCAAAGTGCTGTACCTAATTCACTTTCTACCCTAACTTGCATTACCAACCCTAAACTGTCTTTTTTATGTCTCTCAACTTTATACACTTTCCACCTCTTTAGTAAGTTTCTCTTCTGAGTCTGGTAACAAGGAAAACTATAACTATAGCTCTCTAGTCTTCAACTCCGTCAGAGATCTGAGAAGGATATAATATTACCCCAGTAAACAGGAAGTGTAGAACAAATAACTACCAAGGACAGAAATAGCTGGCTGCCTGGATAGTCAACCAAGGTTCCTCTGCAAAGTTGGAGCATCCATCTTTGCCCTACAGGCCTAGGATATCTGACAGATTTATCTGTGAAGCAGGATTTTTTGAAGGACTGTCCCTTCTTGTCTTGGGAAAGTTCTGCAGTCACTTTCTTTTCTGTCTTGCTTGCCCAATTTGGACAGCATACTGTCAGCAGTAGAGGCAAGGGCACTTTCTTGCCCAGTGGCTAACTTTTGCCACAGAGAGAGTTAATTCCATATGGAGTTTCTTCAATGCCCATCATCTTCCTTGAAGTTGATTGGTGCTTCCAGGAACAGACATTTCTCATTGTCATTAAAAAACAAAACAAAACAAAACAAAAAACTTTATGTTGTTAAACCATCTTAAATGTCATATTCTGTAGATCTCTGAAGTGTTTGAAGACCACCTGTCTATCTAAAATATATTACTGTTTGACCTTGAAACATATATCTATATCTATATATAGATATATAAATAGATATATAGATAGATAACATGACTACAAGTTTGATTGTAATAAATGACTAACTACTAACCTGCATTTCTTTGCTATCATAAATAGTTTGTAATAATAACATTCAAGGACCAGAAATTTACATTAATTGTGAGATTAGCTGTATAGGTACAATACAAGAGAGAAGAGGCTGAGGGTGGAGGTGACTGGAGTTTGCCCCATGTTGGGAACCAGATAATGCGGGGATTTAAAAAGGCAACTCCTGCTGGGCGGTGGTGGCACACGCCTTTAATCCCAGCACTCGGGAGGCAGAGGCAGGCAGATCTCTGTGAGTTCGAGGCCAGCCTGGTCTCCAAAGCGAGTTCCAGGAAAGGTGCAAAGCTACAAAGAGAAACCCTGTCTCAAAAAACCAAAAAAAAAAAAAAAAAAAAAAAAAAAAAGGCAACTCCATGTGGTTAAAAGGAGATTTATTTTGGGGTAACTTATAGCCAGTAAATGGGTTGGTTACAGGATCCAGGAGAGGTGAGGTGCAGTCCAATGGAGCTCTCTGGAGAACACTGACTCGGTCTGCCATCCAGCATCCAGGATCATGAGGAGCTGGATCAAGGATGGATCTGGGGTCTTAAGGGTCCCTATCTCAGCCACGTCCCAGGGGCATGCCATATGTAGGTGCGGCAGTTACCAGCTGCCCCTCTGAGGTGGTGCTTCAAGGTCAAAGCTGGAACAGCTACCCACTACAAGTCATTGTCAATTCCTGTCTGTAGAGGGAAGTTCTCTGGTCCCACCTGGCCCCGTGGTCCCACAGACGCTTATAAATAATCATTCAGAGGCTTGATATTAATTGCAAATTATATTGCCTATGGCTCAGGCTTCTTACTAGCTAGTTCTTATAACTTAACTCAACCCATAACTATTAATCTATATATTGCCACATGTTCTGTGACTTTACCTGTGTCCCAATACATGTTGCTCCTTGAACAGTGGTTTGGAATCTTCCCTTACTCTATTTTCTCCTCTCACTATCTCTCTTGGGTTTTCCTACCTGGCTCCATCCTGCCCTGTTATAGGCCAAGGCAGCTTTATTTATTAGCCCGTGGGAATAGCACATATTCACCGCATACGGAAAGACATCCCAAGGCACCTGCCATTTTTTGGTTTTATTGTTGGTGGTGGTAGTGTGTGTGTGTGTGTGTGTGTGTGTGTGTGTGTGTGTGTGTGTGTGTGAGTTTTCCTTCTTTGGGACTTTCTGGTTCGAGATTATCTATTAACTGTGTTTTCGTGGGTGCAGCTAACTTCCTCCTGTTGGAATTTTCCTTCTAGTACTTTCTGTAGGTCTGGATTTGTCGATAGGTATTGTTTAAGTCTGGTTTTTTCTTGGAATATTTTGTTTTCTCCATCTTTTGTGATTAAAAGTTTTGCTGGCTTTAGGAGTCCTGGCTGGCATCCACAGTCTCTTAGTGTCTGCAAAACGTCTCTACTGGACCTTCTGGCTTTCAGGGTCTCTGTTGAGAAGTTGGGTGTAATTCTGATGGGTCTGCCTTTATAAGTCACTTGGACTTTTTCCTTTGCTCCTCTTAATAGTCTTTCTTTTAGTGTTTTGATTATTATGTGACAAGGGGACTTTTTCTTTTGGCCCAATCTATTTGATGTTCAGTAAGCTTCTTGTATCTTCATAGGCATGTCCTTTAAATTGGGAAAAGTTTTCTTCTATGATTTTGTTGAATATATTTTCTGTGCCTTGGGATGGAATTCTTCGCCTCCTTCTATTCCTGTTGTTCTTAGTTTTGGTCTTTTCATGGTGTCCCAGATTTACTGGATGTTTTGTGTTAAGAATTTGTTGAATTTAATATTTTTCTTTGACCAATGAATCTATTTCCTTTATCATATCTTCAATGCCTGAGATTCTCTCTTCCATTTCATGAATGTTATTTGTTATGCCTGCATCTGTAGTTCCTGTTCATTTACCCAGATTGTCCATTTCCAGCATTCCCTTGGTTTGTGCTTTCTTTATTGCCTCTATTTTAATTTTCAAGTCTTGAACTATTTCCTTCACCTGTTTGATTGCTTTTTCTTGACTTTCTTAAAGGGATTTATTGATTTCTTCCAATTTTTTGTTTGTTTTTTCCTCCATTTCTTTAATGGAATTTTTTATTTCCTTTTAAGGGCCTCTATCATCTTCATAAAGTTATCTTTAAGGTCATTTTTCTTCTGTTTAATCTGCATTGGGATGTTTAGGTCTTGCTGTTGTAGAATCACTAGGTTCTGGTGGTGCTGTTGTTGAATATATTCTCACATTGCTGTTACCCACCTGGGTTTGGGATAATTATAGGAACAGGTGTTGATTCTGGTGATGTCTTTATTGATGGGTCTTTTGTTCCTGTATTGTCTGTTTCCCTTATTGTCTTTTGCCTTGAGTGGCCAAGAGTTCTGGTGACTGGCTGCTTGTCAGGTCAAGTAGTGTTGACTCAGGTCAGCTGAGATTTGGGGGTGTTTGGATGCCTAGATCCAGTGTATTGTCCAGTTCTTCTGGCTGGTGTGGGCTTTTATTGTTCCTACGGGCTCTGTTCTTCCAAATGGTGTGAGTTGTGCCTGTGCCTATGGAGTCTGTTCTTCCAACTGGTGTAGGTTTTGCCTGTGCCTGTTCTTCCAACTGGTGTGGGTGGCACTTGTGCCTACAGGATCTGCTGATGTTGCTGCAGAGTGCTGTTCACAGGGGGGCTGCTCTTCTTCCAATTGGTGGAGGTGGTACTTGGGCCTCTAGGAACTGCTGACCCTCTCCTTCCAAATGGTGCAGGTGGTGCTTATGCCTTCAGGGTCTTCTGACTTTTCGGCAGATGCTTGGCCAGGGGGAGGATGATAGCCTCAGTGGGCTTGGGCAGTGGAGTGGGTCTTACAGGTTACATAGTCCAGTGAGTGGCAGCAGTGGTGGCACAACCTGCCTGCAGGACTCTTACCTGTTAGCTGGCTGCTGAAGCTGAGACGGCAGGGAGAGGGGCATGGGACAGATCCAGCCCTTAGTGCCTAGGGAGTAGGGCCCTTAAGCTGGGAGACCAGTCACCCGTGTCTCTCTCCAAATGTTGCAGGTGGTGCTTGTGCCTCTCAGGATTGATGATTTTGTGGTAAATGGCTGACTGGGGTTGGGGGTGGTGGTGAATGATGGATTTGGTGTGTTTGTGCAATGGAGTGGGTCTTGTAGGATACAGGGCCCAATGGGTGGCAGTGGTGGTAGCTGCCTGCCCAGAGGACTCTTACCTGTTGGTCTGCTGCTGGGGCTGAAATCTACTTCCTAT